ATGGATGTGCCGGATGAAACGTATTCAGCACCTGCGGCTGTCCACTATAGATCTCTGCCCCATACACACTCGACCCACTAAACTGCACGTCGCTCATCGCCTGGAAGAAAGACTCATGCGAGTCAAAAGAGCCGCCCGCAGTGAACGGTGGTTGCTCGAACTTGTCAAAGACGCGCATGTCCTGCATGATGCGCGGGTGTATATCGAATCCGACGCCCTGTCCTTCCCATGTAAATTGTCTGCATGACTGGGACGAGCTGCTTGACTCGGCTTCTGATGGTGTAGGTTGGACAGACGGTGGTGAGGCGCTAGACCGAGGGCTCGTTTGGGATATTAGATGAGTTTTGCCACCGCCAAGGCGATCGAGCTCGGCGCGAGATAAGCTGGAGTGATCGTCATAAAGAGGGTAATCAACAGCGTCGTGGCCTTTTTTCCAGACTTTTGTTATTGAGTCCTGGACGCGGGATGAGGGGTCTGCATTGAACGCATAGAGAGGATGCTTACGAGGAGCACAGCGGCAGGCTTTGAGGTAGGCGCTGACTTCTGGAATACTTCATAAACGACATCAAGCTCGCGCAATGAAGGAGGCGCTATGTTTGATTGAGGCGCACGATTAACGATCATGCACATGACGATCTATGACACGCGTCGTCATGCACTCCAATTAATGAGTTGAACAGGACTACTCACGGCGGCGGATAGAGCATGTGACCAGAACAGACCTAATCGCTCAATCACTTGCGGAATCTTCCTAGCTGCATGCGAGTGACTTTCTATCACTCGCCATGCAGAGCGATACATCGCCATGACCGAGGGGCCGTACTTATGCTTCAAGAGGTCATCGGGCTGGTCCTCCAAAGCTTGCGTGAAGTATCGTCGATGGATATTTAACAACGCTAAACACGCCGCAAATAAGTTTCACGGACTGATAAGAATAGATGCATATACCCACTAGTTTCCTTGTTTGTGAGGAGAAAAGACGTCTGGACTTGCTGGAGAATCGCGGCTTTTGTGAGAGTTTCGCTTGTAGGACAGCGGGGCTGGAGATGAGGTGGGACAGGGAAATCGCGGATTTTCCGATCGAGTTCGAGGATCGTGCCGTAGGTGGGTGTTTTGGCTCCAAATGCATTGACCATTACGTGGTGCAGGAGCCGCGAAAATTTCCACGACCACATATGTCCTAAGGAGATGTGTGAGGACAGTAAAGTACAATAACAAGAAACGCATACCACTCATCTCCTTTTCCCCTTTGTCGTTGACTACAGCGAAATCATCATTTGGGTAAGGAGTGTCGATCCAATCGGGAGAGACGTTCGGTGGGCGGCCAGCATAGAAACTCTGAAATATACGACATGAGGAAGAAATTACAGCACTGATTTGGATGGCGCACGATCCAGGTATCCAACATGAACATCTGCCAAAAGACGGAGCTACGTTTTTGAACAACAGCGTCGCTGAGTTTCCACCTAGCACCAGAAAGATCTTGAAGATGCCATCAGTCCCAGATAAACCGAGCGAGTAGCCTGAAAGACGTACGAACGCCAATCTAGGAAAATGAATAAGAGACTTGTGATACGTGGAGTGAAAAAACGAACCCTATACCCAAGTTTTACGGCCAACCCAATGAACAAGTATGATCTACTTGAATCCATCTGCAGGTCACTCATTTCCAGGTACTGCACAATATGCAGCTAATGTGAATTTTAGCATCTGCACGCTAATTTCTCGCTCAGAGAAGAAACAGACCAGTGCGATAAGAGTATGGACGCTCGTTTCCGTGCAGGGGGAAGTAAAGTGCATCGACACGTGCGATAAAATATGATACTCCTGTGCCTCCACGGCGTAAGATGGCTTTTCAAAGTCAAAGAGGGTGGCGAGAGCGAATATGCTGAACAGGAGTGAGAGATCATGAGAGCCAGGTATTTCCTCGTAACATCTGTTGGGTACATCTGCTCAGGAGCATGACATGGAATGAGCAGAATAAGCCTACTTCGCATGATAAACACTTCGAAGGATATTATCAAAAAGTTCCGATCGTGTCAGGGGAGTCCACCTGGCAGGAGTGGTTAGGCATCATTCTGTCACGAGCACATGAACATACAAGACTTTACCCCATTCAAGGTAAATCTCACTGAGGCGGACCGCCTCTGACAATGGAGGTAGATATGAATAAACAGGTTTCCAGAGGCCATTATCACTCGGGACACAGTCAGAACCAGGCAACCAAGCATCGAGAATCTGTTTCGAAAGTCGGGGAAAGGTTTCAGAAAAGGGAGGCTTTGGTTGTTGTTTCAGAGGTGGCTAAAAAAAACGTCACACAAATGTCGCAAAGCGGTCACGACGGACCCTACCTGAATGAGATACTACCAGGATGTTCAGCAGGTATTCATTACTTCTGAATGTAGAACTTACTTCTGAACGGGCGGTGCCGCCCATAAAAATGGTTTCTCCACGAGTGCCAATGGTGAGCGTGCCTATAACCGAACTTAGCTACGTGCGTCAACCACAAAGTTCAATTGGCATTACCAAATGCATCTATAACAGAATCAGCATCGGCCTTATTCGAAGGTTGGGGCTGTTGTTCTGGAAAGTTACTGCTTGAGCTGGATTCTGGACTATCGTTTGAGATGACCGTATCGGTATCTGAAAGTAGCGGATGAGGTAGATCGGATGCTTTAGAGTGCATTTGGCGGAGGGTTTCCTCAAGTTCACGTATTCGCGTTGACATGACTTCGATTTTGCTGTGTAACTCCTCTGTATTTGCGAGCACAAGGCTGTGCAGATCTCAGAACAGCGAGAGAGGAAACAAAAAGACCGCGTACCGATTGCCCTTTCCCGCTGTCAATGATCCTGAAGATGTTTGAGACTTGAGATATCTTATAAATGACGGGAAGAGCAAACCACTAGGACATATTGTGGAGCAGCCACGCTTTACGCAGGTCTCGCATGGAACCTACATGGCAATCAAGTGAGCAATGGTCTGATATGTAGTACGTTGTACATAACAGGACACGAACCTTGCGATCACAGCGAAGTTTGAGTCTGAATGAATGAGGGACACGAGCAATGGATCACAAACTGGGTTCGTCAAACATGTCGTCTAAATTCAGCCAAATTAAAGCTCACCTTCTGCACTCTGCACAAGACGTGGGTACTCTGCCAGGTTTCTTCCTTTCCTTCTGCTCGCCATTCTTCGACTCTGTTGTCCTGGTCATTACGATGATAGCAAAAAGAAAGCAAGAATAGGAGCGCGAATCGTTGACAACTTGACATGACTAAGCAGGACTTTGAACATTTACATAGCCCTCGGCACCCGCTGACGAATTGATGAGCACGCGCCATCATGATCGCCCGGGACGTTATCACTTGGGTACAACGACTGCCGACCGACCCCCATCATCATGCATGGAAACAGTCGATATATATACACCAGAGGCTGGGAAGCACACAGGTAACAGCCATCGAACAATCAATCGAGTGCATTGGCTCTCACGACTCCGAGTCACATATGGGTCTGTTGTTCAAAGACCTCTGGCAAGCGGTCGTCCTCAGGCTCGTCTACTTACAACACAGGATGTTGCAATAAGTGAAAGCATGAAGGTATTTTGAATTTAATACCTGACTGTTGCAGTACCTTCTCTTATATGCGCCTCTCAGAGAGACTGTTTGCGGTGTCGCTCCAATAACATATAAAAATGGCTAGTACATTTTTAAACTTGGACGGCCCATCAGAAGATAGCTGTCATTGCGCGTACGTTTTGATCAACATATTTGTTCAAGTACCGCTGGGAGGATATCGAGGCTATTGTCCTCAGGATCGCTGATGCGCTAGAAGTCTTGGCCTACCTGTTTGAATGGACGGCGAACTCGGAGCATGCTAGCATATCATATCCTGTGAAAGATTTCGTTGCAACCTTCGTACGCCCCGTCCACTGAAATAGTGCGGCGCTTGAGCTAACCATTTCGATAGTGACAGCGTTCATCATGTGGTAATATGAGTTCCTCAGCTCAAGCCGAACAATCACATAAGCCACTAAAGTGGGATCATGTTACGCTGCACTTCCTGAACCTTATCTTTTACAGAAGCCATTCTGAAAAGGTTCAGGGCTATTGGTGGCTTATCATGGGGCTAGCCTTGAGCTGAGCACGCCTCTGGTGCATGGGGTGGGTGTTGCCGCCGCATTTCCGATCGATCTAGAGAGCTTGAGACTTGCAAGCTTGAAGTTCAGTGTACACCCTGACTTGTCTCATATAATATCACATCGCTTCTATAACGTGATACAGCATCGTTTCGAAGTTCCCTCCTGTCTTAGAATATACTTCGCCGTTACTACTGGCGAGACTATGTGATACCGCATCAACAGATTAAGCACGACCTGCCTTTCCTCGGATACCTGACAATGCCTACATAGCGGATTCAGAGAATTTGAATTGTCAATGCCTCCAGCTCGGGAGTCGGCTTTCTCTACTAGACCAGGAGGAGGTTCCTTCCTACATAAGGGATTAATTTTGAAATAAACCGGCTATAAGCCTTAGGCCTTGGCCTTAGAACTTGGCACTTCTTCTTTAGGAAGCAAATTAAAGCTATGTGCACGTGAACGCCGCTGAAGTAGCGCTGAGAAAATTATAACTGTTGCAGACATTTTACATCCTTACATCTTGATGACATCTCGCGCTGGTGTTGCACTTTTGTTCAAGGATACTCCAGCGGCCGTTTATGTATGATGGATACCATTACTAGCAGCGACTGTCAGACGTACGTCTGCGCTTATTCGGGACCGGCAATATCGAGGAGACTAGCGCCAGGGTCCAATTAATCGGTCGTTACTCGGTCCGGGAGAGAGGCGAGAACCAGTGTGGTTAGCCATCGTGGAAGGATCCACGGAAGCTTTTCCTACCCAATAATATACGCTTTGATGTTGCGCCCTTCCGGCTCTTTAAAAGCCACCAGAACTATAGATACCAGGCCAGGCCATCCGGACTGTACCTCATCCCTCCCTATGGAACAAAACATGCAGCCATCGTTGCAGGCGAAGCCGCAACCCGCTCCACTGTTGTTCACTGACTATCCTCAAAATCAGAATGGTTCTTCAATCTCCAGCGGGCAAGATACGTTGAATCTGGCTGACGAGATTCTACCTCCTGCACATACCAACAGAACGCTGGTGTTGTGTTTGTACGTTGTTCTTGATAAAGCGTTTTCATCATTGATTGACTGTCCTGTTGAGTGATGGAACCGGTGATCAGGTCAGCGCACATCGTTTTCTTATAGCGCTTAATGGCTGATAATCCTCGGTGAACAGTTTGATACAGATGTATGTTGCAGTTTGTTCCTAGAGTGTCCTTCGGATCCTGACTGGCCATTCAGAACTCGAACATCATCCAGCTATTCAGCATGCTCGTCAAGGACAGTCCCGCTCTGCAAATGGTCTATTATCAGGTAATATTAAACAGTATTTGGACCCTGAACTCGGCTTACCTATGACATACCATAGGCCGGTATAGGAACGTACACTATACCGGAAATTGCTACACCCGCGATGGCCAAGCTTTCCAAGACTGTTGACATGATGATTGGGAATCATCTCAACGCTCATGTGATGGGTCAGTCATACTTAACTCCTTCTATCTTCTGAACGTTACAGTTACTAATTTCAAATAGGAGGATACGAGTTTCTCATGCAGAATTGTAAAGTTAGAACGCGCTCCTCACGTGATGCGACTAATTTTAGCTCTTGCAGATGACGCTGGTGATAAGATATGCATATTCGGGTTCTCAAGAGGCGCATACACGGCGCGCGCGCTTGCTGGAATGTAAGTTTTCCCAAATCGTTGGCGGTCATAGCTCCAACATACCATACTTGCAGGATTCACAAAGTCGGACTTTTACCCCGCTGCAATCATCAGCAGGTTCCTTTTGCCTACAATATGTACAGCCGTGATGACGAAGAAGGCTGGGCACTAAGCTCTAAATTCAAGAAGGCCTTCTCCATCAACGTGGACATCGAATTTGTTGGTGTTTGGTACGTTCGTGACGGTGGTTTGGAATGAGCTATGATCTAAACTCCATTTTGTGAATAGGGATACCGTCAGCTCAGTAGGACTCATCCCTACACGACTCCCATTTACGAAGGCGAACGACAGTATCAAGTACTTCCGTCACGCAATTTCTCTTGACGAACATCGGGTGTATGTGTCTCAAATTTCTTTTCAGAGACTCGCCATCTAATTTGCAATGTGCAGGCGCTTCAAGCCGAGTCTTTGGATACGCGCGAACGAGGACCACAAGAAGTGTGGTGTTCAACGTGAACACATGCCTCGCAGCTTCAAGAAGCTTCTCCCGAAAGTACAGGAACTCCACAGTCGAAATAGCCCAGACAGCGAAGCAACCAAGAAGTCACATCACCATCACGAGTCTCAGGATCAAATGGAACAATTATTTGCAACTGCAGACGCGGATCCCATCAGGGAGACGGACGTCGAAGAGGTTTGGTTTGCTGGGTGTCATTGCGGTAAGAACCTTGTCTTTGGCGAAGTGCAGTTCTAATCACAAAGCAGACATCGGCGGAGGTTCTGTCCCGAACGGTACCCGCAATAGCCTAGCTCGCATACCGCTTCGGTGGATGGTTCGAGAATTGTTCAAGCTTGATATCGGCATCATTTTCCACCGGAACATGTTCACAAAAATTGGCATGGATCCCAAGACGCTCTACCCTGTATCCGTAGCTAGGCAGCCTCGACCTCCTCCAATATATCAAACTCCGCCTGCCCCATCTCCTGGCTCGGGGAAATTGACGATCAAGGACCGTTTGACTCCAAAGCCTCAAATTGTCACCGATGATCCTGCGATGATCGTCTATACGGACGGTTCTGCATTCGTGAGTGAGGAACATGAAGACTTGGCTGACGCTACTTGCCCGATGTATGACCAACTCCGCCTTGCACGTTATTGGTGGATTCTGGAGGTCGTTCCACAAATGCTTCACTACCAGGATGACAAGAGCAACAATTTGATTGACGAGTATACGTGCGTCATTTTGTGCTTTATTTATTATCACACTCACTTTGATTGAAGGATCAACATGGGGCGCGGCCGTCACATTCAGCGCCAAAGCCATGGCATCAAATTCCATAGGAGTGTCAAGATTCGCATGGAGGCGGATAACCTTACAGGTGGAAAATACTGGCCCAAGGCGAAACTAAAGGTGGAGCCTCAATGGATTGACTGAGCTGTTCCGACGCGATTCACATTTATGCGCTTGGCCTTCTTGTTTTCTGGCCTGTAATACGACTTCGTGATATATTGTACGCCTGTACGTAGTACCTACTATATCGTAGTGGATGATCTTGGAATGACCTATTCTCTTGCCTGATGTCCGTTAATGTTTGTGCACGCTGTGGTTGTGTTATGGGATCATGATATTAAGGTGAGTAAGTTACGCAGGAAGAAACTGTCTTTCTTCCATGATTGACAAAATATCCTAGGGGATACTGACACTGGCTAAGTAACTCAAGCGGGCGGACTGTCTCAGTAATCTCCATGTGCTCGATCGTTATCAGGAAGGCAAGAGTACATGGTTTGATCGTCGGCTTAGGATGTTGGTGAGAGTCCTCCAAGTAGGCACCAGCTCTCCTGGGCTCTCCTACGCGGTACCTTCAGATCTATGGGTCCCAGGTCTTCTCGGACCTGGGCAAAACTTGCTTGTATGATCTTGTGATGGGAATGTTGACTTGTAAGTGACTCGTCTCCGATGTTCAATTCGGATGTATCGTTTCCCAAAGGCTGAGCGCTGATTACATAGCGGCGATATCGTCCACGGTAGACATACATCCTGTGAGTTCTATCGTCACTTTCCATCGAGAAATTCGCTTGAGCGCCGCAGCCAAACCAATGCCGGGGCGAAAGCAAGATATTTCTGATCGGTTGTCCCCCTGTGACGTCGTTTAATTACCAGACGACGTCCCCTTTTCGCAGATCATTGATTACGCGCGACGGAACTCAGTACTCAAGTGTTGCGATACCGTGGAATACTATTTGACATGGCAAGTGGAACACATCTTTTCTTTCGGTATGTTTTCTGGGTAGTCTTGGCACATACTATGTCAGACCCACCGGCAGGGCTGAAGTTCAAGGTTCTCTGTACCTTGCCTTTCGCCGACGGAAGACACTCTGGTACTGTGGCTGAATGACGGATGGGCCTGACCGCTATCAGGGTAAGTTCACCTTCCGCTTCAACATATTCCGTGCCTCATCACCGACGAGGGTAATAGCGCCAGGCACAACCTGTACAGTTGCAACAAGAACGCAGACATGTCAGGATCGTCATGCCCGTCAGATCTGGTTTCCCATACTCTGACAGATTGTCTACCACGCCGCGATGCTGCTAAAGATAAGTAAGCATGTAACGTTGATCATCATCGGGGTTTCTCGATACTATCCCGTTATACAATGTCTGCCTGGCCCTTTCGACCACAGAGAAATTTCTTCAATCGATTATTGCTGAGCAACTTGGTGCATCTACTAGAATTGGTTCTTGAGTTGGTGACGTCGAGTACGATCAGGGGCGTATACAATGGGTGATGTGCCGTTCGTTCGTTCCTCTTCGTTCGATGATATGCAAAAGTTTCGGGGGTAAGCTCAACGTACTCAGCTTTCATTAGTACTGAATACAATCATTATGCATACCATAGCAATCAACATGGACCTCGATATCAATCGGATATGGTGTAACGGTCAACATTGCCGCCTCTCACGAGTCACGCGGCAGCTCGGGGTTCGATTCCCCGTATCCGAATACTTTTTGCTTTCCTCGGAGGCTCGACCTCTGAAACCGAAACACAACATAATGACAACTTCGTATCGCAGCGAAGTGACATCGTTTGCATGTCTGACTTTGGGTGATTAGACATCTTTGAAGCTCTCGACCTCTCAGATAGTATTTACCGCACTTTTGAGGCTGTTGGATCATAACTCACTAATGAATACAGCTGCACGCCTCGCGATCGCGCTAAACCAAGTGACATAAGAGTACAAGCATGCTAGATGGGTAACAGTGGGGAAACAAAAGAACAACAAAGACAGCATCTATCGATAATAAGCAAATAGCACTAAGCGTGGTACATTGACAATTCCAAGTTATGGCCTCGCAATGACTTGGACGGATTTCTTACTCTCCCCCGCCAGCGAGTTCGAGGATCAACCGACATGCAACATCCATAAATACAAAGGGCGAAACCACCTCGTCTTCCTTAAGTGCGAGATGGTCTTTGTCCTTGATCGAACGTCCATCTGAACTTGAGTCGGGGAGATATGCATCAGGATCGGCCATGTCGAATCTTCCAGCGCCGGGTTCGGCGGAGGCCTTGTATGTCTTTTTGTGATGGAAGTCGACGAGATAATTTATCGAGTCTACCATGTAGAGCTGGAGATTCATGAGGATCTGGTAATGCGTCAGCTGCATCGTAATTCTCAGCAGGAAATAAAGGTGTGCGTACCACAACGTCTTGGACTCTGGCTCGGGTCTCTACAAAGTAGACGCTTGCAGCCACACGCAAATCTACCGAATCGCACCCATCCATCTCCCTCGCGCGTTCGATCTTTGCGCTCCCTTCCGTGCCGCTCCTTGGCCGGGACTTGACACCTCCTAAACCACCCAGGTTCCTTTTCTCCTTCCACTCCATTCCGAGTGCCTTGAGCGTTCGATAGATCTCCAGCATGACTTCCATGGGCGGACTTCTGCTGCGAATCCCGAAGTGCCACTTTGTCCGGTGTTGCTTCTTTTCTTTAATAGGCCATGCGCGTTTGGCATTTGCATATGATGCAAGATGGTGCTGTTCAGGTAGCTGGTCGGGGAGGGGCAGCGAAGAGTTGAGCACAGCAAATGTGTTGAGGTCGCGTTCACCGTATTCACCATCTATCGGAGGAGTGGAAAAATCAAGTCCATCGTCGATTTCGTCGTCGTCTTCTTCGCCATTGTCATATTCAGCGTTAAATTCGGCTTCGAAGGGATTGTCTTCAAGATCACCCGAAGGTGAGAGAGCGTTGGGTGAGAGCGCATTTCGGGGCTGGAGGATTATCAATACAGGCGCGAGATTACGAGTATCGGTACTCACATCCATCGCTGCGAGCTGGGCATCTCGTTCTTGTTCCTCGAACTCTGCCACTTGGAAGGTGATCAGTCAACCAGTGCTGTAAACATTAGTTATACAGATGATGAAGATACCTACAATCACGGCCAGCACGGCGTTTGTCCCGTAGAAGCATGTATGCCACCTTGACCGCGTTCCCTTGAACACCGTCATCCCGCCTCAGACACTCCCAAATATCGTCCTTGTCCACGCCTTGCATGCGGGCTGCCAGTTCGTCGATTACATCTTCCTCGATGCGTCCAAGACCGTCAATGATCTCAAAGTCGAGTACCTTGGGCTGGGTGACAAGGGACGATAGCGTGCCAAGCACAGGACCAGGGGGTGGAGGGAGAGGAGTTAGGTAGCGGGGAATGTCAGTCCTGAAGAATGGGTGCTGCGTTATTTCGGGGATGGTTATACGTTTTACAGGGTCGATGGCGAGCATGTGGTTGATCAGTCCGCGGGCATCAGCACCAAGATAAGACGGCATATGGTAAGAACCCTCTGTAGGACATCAGTACGTACATTCTCAGGCGGAAGGCTACAAGTAGAAGGGAAAAGACGTACGGCTAATTTTGGTGAAGAGGGTTTGAACATCATCGTCTTCGAAAGGTAGCCTTCCACATAGCATGACATATAAGATTACTCCACAGCTCCAAACGTCGATCTCTGGGCCGGTGTAAAGCCCTCCTCGGATCACTTCTGGAGCGGCATAATTGGGACTACCACAGCTCGTCTTAAGGAAATCACCATCCTTGATCTCATTGGAAAGCCCAAAGTCCGCAATTTTGACGTTGAGATCATCATCAAGAAGTACGTTCTCTGGCTTGAGATCTCGGTGTACGATTTTGAGCTTGTGGCTGTACTCTATGCCAGAGATGAGTTGCTGAAAGAACCTCCGGGCTCGAGGCTCCGGCATTCGTCCGTTAGCTACGATGTAGTTGAATAGCTCGCCACCGGCGTACTCGAGAACGATGATGATATCTGTAGGGGTCGAGATGACTTCGTAGCTGTAAAAAATCATAAGATGGGACAGTGATAATTGTTTGAAGGACCTACAGCTTGATGATATGTGGATGCCGCAGGGTTCGCATGTACTCCACTTCCCTCTGGACACGAGTCTTGGTCTTGGTCATATGGATGACTGCCTTGGATATGTACTTCATTGCAACTTTCTGACCTGTTATGGTGTGGGTAGCCACTGGAGAACATGGGTTAGTCGATCGAGCGCAAAGATCGAACAAATTTGCAAGATGTACTTTTGACTTTGCCAAAGGTCCCCTCCGCGATATCCTGTATGACTGTGTATTCACCCAGCTTTGTGGCCGGGTACACTGTTTGTTCGCTCATGGCGGAGAGCCGTTCGTGGATGAGTAGTGGTTGCCGTTGTCGCGATCGTCGTGTTCGTGCTGTGCGTCTGAATTGCGGGAAAATTGGGAAAGTGCTCCTGGGATTGATGTTGTTACGTACTTGATTTTGGGGTCTTGGTTGCTTATGTATAAATCTTGTGATTCCCAGGTTGACTCAACCCCGGTATTTGCTTGGCAATAACTGTAACAAAGTTCAAAGGTCGGATTTGCCAATTTAGGTGTAGATTCAATTAGGCGTGGATTTTCTAGCACGAATTCCCATCACGTATTCAATATATCCTTACTTTTTCGACCTTTAGTGATTGGTTCGTTGATCTACATACCACGCCGCAAAACTGATGCAAGAATCCCTGAGGACGGGGATAATCCTCCCCCAGAGCGATCAACCAGTTTATTCACCGATCACCTCCTCCTGCGATCCGCATGTTAAGTACCAGAATTATCTCCGTTAAAGTACAGTCTAAATTGATGTCACTCGCACTGGACAAAGGGTCCATCGTCCATGCATGATGGCCTTCCCGGGGTACTAGTTCAGATAATCGTTCCTTCTTGCCCGTAATTCCAGCTGAACACTCTGTATATCTGCCAGATTACCCCTTCCGAGCCATATGAATTTCACCCTTATCTCTGGGTTGGGAAACCCCCTCATCATTGAAATCGTGAACGGTTTTTGTCTGGGTGTGCTCTCAGCTGGGAAACTTGTTTATGACGAGCAATCTTGTACAAGGTGATAATTCAAATGCTCTTCTCTTGCCACGTCCCATGGGCCATAGATAATCCAGCTCCGCTCGACCGGAAGGTAAATTTCAATTACATATAGTGGCGCGCAGATAAGTTTTGAGTCATGTCTAGATGCTTGTTCTACGACTACATCACGATCCTCAGGTACGTCCATCTGTTCTCCGTCTACGATCCCCACTAGCGCAAAGACATCTGTGATCGCCGTACTAGCTCACCCCGAAAGAGAGGATTCTCTTGTAATACGCTCACTCGGCATTCAAGAAATAATAGTAACGAATATCGAACACTTGACTTCTGAAGTATCTTTGCTCGTATCATTTTGAGCGCTAAATTATCAAACCTGCCAGAAAACGATCACGCCACATCTTCCGACGGCTCGTTTGACAACAGTACTCCAGCCAACAGTATCACTCGAGCAACGATTCCACCAGACTCTGCAGTCATTTCAACCAATGATCATCGGTTCCGGAAACAATTGATTCTTCTGTGCTCGTCACTGCGATACCACACCAGGTCCTCACTAGGCCTCACTGGCATTCCAACATACCAACTAAGCACAGATAAGAATGTCGTTGTGTTACATCTTCATGGCCGAGTGCGGACCGAAACTTATAAACGTTCCTCCTTTGGTCTCACACACGAAACCCGTGGAAGTCGTTCACAAAAACGGAGAGGCAGTGCAGTACAGCGGCGCATCAAGGCAGTCTTCTTACAGTCGCTTGATCTCTGGATGCCAGTGAAACCATGCGACAAATAACTTAAAAAAGTCGATATTTGTCGTCTATCTTTGCTATCAGTGCAATATGCCGTGAACGAATGGCATGTGAACCAGACGTACATCAGAGTTCAAATAAACACTAGTTTCAGTGTCTTGTTTCGACAGCTCCTGCGGTGGGGGGCAATGGGCTTCATAACTTTGGCGGCACGTTTTCCACGTTTAAGTTGACGTCATTGATTAAAACCTTCCTTGTAAAAGCTCCTGCGGGTCTGGTATACCAGGTTAACGCGGAAATACAGTTCAAAAACCCTAAATATCGTAGCGCCTCGGTCAGGGATAATGGCTTCTGGCACGTTATAACTGTAGGTTAGAAGATATGATGCGTAATGGTCTTCCCAGATTCAGCGACAACAAGAGCAGGATCAAATCTCTTCGGCCGACCAGGAAACACGTCGGGGCGCCCGAATCCATTCGGAGATAAGTAGATAGGGATTTTGTCAGAAAAAATATATTCTGGTTTGAAATTTAGTAACGTACAGCGAAAGGGGCGCAGTCAAGCGGATCATACATGTGTGTACAATGTGGCGGATCCTTGGGCCGACTCAGTGAGAAAGAACTAAACCGGTTGTCAGATAAATGCCGCTGGAGCAAGAAAATAGCTCGGGTTCATAAAAAAAGACGCACCTCTAGGGTTCTTGGTTTCAATAACCATTCACTCATCTTGTAGTGGCCAATTTTTGGTAATGTGGTAATGGAGAGTCGACTAGCGTTGTGCTCCCTCGTGCCGATGGGGATCGGTTCCAAAACAACCTATTTCCCTTCAAAGGATTAGTAACAAAGTTCAGACAATCTATTTTTCTTCAAAAGATCGGTAAGTTCAACAAGTTTAGATTGCAGTGGCGTGACCACATACCAGCGAGTGATTCCAGTAAGCTACACGACTGCTCATCCCTGCAATGATGTCACAGGGATCATCTATCATCCAACTCGACTCAGCAGGCGAGCGTCCCATGATAGTCTGATCACCTTTCTTGCTTGACAGGGATGGGAAGCCAGAGTATCCGGAGTATCCAAATGTCAGGGTCTGCGATAACTCCTCCGAATACAGAACAATTGCATGAAATAAAGCTGCGAGCCTCTTTAAGCTTGAAATTAAAGGAGTCTTGCTCACTTTAACACGCACTGGTTATGTATGCGATGAGGCCAACGACCTTGTATTTTGGGGACATGGACCGTCCTTGAAAATAATATATGCTTGAAGCGGCTGCAGACAGTCATCAGACCAACATGTTCAGTAAGATCTCCATCACTCAAAAAATGTTTTCAGGATCTTTGGGATTGGATCTTGTAATACGCGAACGACAATAAGGGTCGCCACGTCAGCGTAACTCTAAAATTTTCAAAAGGGGATCGTCAGGCAAGATCATGCAAACCAATAATTCCATGTATAGAGACTGGGTGGTAAAAGGTGGTAAAACATACAGATGGATATGCGGGAATGATGCTCCGAGTCCTATAGTACAAACATGCAAAGAAAAAAAAAGAAAGGTATCACGAAAAAAACACGCAACGTAGATCATGCAGCCACTTTTGTAGCCATCACCTCCTTCTTCAGCGCATCGCACTTTATTTCTTGCGCTTCAGCATGCCCGATCGTCTTCGCGAGTTTCTCCTCCCTGGTCTGCAAGCGCTGCTCCATGCCGAGGACGAGGAGGCGAATCTGTTCCACCTGCGTTAACGTAGATTCAACCACCGCTTGAGAGACAGGCGCAGAAGTAGACAGATCAGGGTTGCCAAACTGAGGTGTCGGCGTCCCTCGAGCGAAGACAGACCCCATGACAGAACGAGCTGCGAATGTTGATGAAGGTGGCGCGATGTCAAGCGCACTCTGAGAATATATCAGATACATATGATTCATCATGTTTAGCAGGAGTGCATACCTGCCAATTCTCGCCAGCGAATTTGGCCAGAGCTTGCTCCAACATTTTCTCCCTTGTCTTCACCCTACAACAACGTACTGTCTGGAGTGAATAATAGACACCTGCATGTGTACGCACCTGTCCAGTTCCGCCATGCACCTTTCGTTCTCTCTTTGAGTTCCCTGTAGAATCAGATCCAGATTTTTATATTCCTTCTCTAGCTCCTGGATCCTTTCTATGGGTGGCCTCAAAGTAAGCTGTTGTTGTAGCGTCAATATCGTCGATTGAAGCTTAAATGAGTCACAGTCAGCTGCACAGATCGTCGTCCATTATTCATTAAGCTGACCTTGTCATTCTCGCGATCTTTGTCTAGGAGCTGCCTCCGTAATACATCTTCGATAGAAAGCTCGTCCCCCTCACGAAGAATGCCAAGATCATCTGCAGGTAGTGCAAGAGGTGTTTTTCCGTAGTTGCGCACACTCTGTACACGGCGCATGTTCGCCATCTGTCCTCAGGTTGTCGTTTAACCAAAACCTGGACCCTTCCCGAGAACGCGTGTTGACAACTGCATGCACGTGACTGACGCGTTCAAATGAGATTTACGAGATCCAGAACCCTCAGCGCGCTTCTCAGCACAGCACACGAAACTTCACTAGAGCTACAACAATAGTGGTGGACAACTCTGATATACATTCAAGTCATGCGCACATATCGAGTGTTTACAACGGAATCAAAATACAAAAGCCGTTGCAATAAGAATATACTGGAAAATATCATGCGGGAGGCTTTGGTTACAGGGTGATGACGCAATCGTAAAGGTAATTCTCGCTGGCACGGCCTAGTAATTACGCCGGATGTACAAACGAAGGCGAGAAAATAGTTGCGAAGTTGATGTCCGTACGATTCGATGGGCGTGAACGCTCGGAGATACGTTTCTGTGGTGAAACACTGTGCTTAGAGTCAAGGACGACGGAAGCAGTCGCCGGACGTGCTGGTTTGGTGAGCCGCCTGCCTCGTTGGGTCTTGATCACGGACGGAACTTGCTTCAGCAACGAGATGTGACGCGAACATCCTATGAGTAGCACGAGAACCTTGTTCGCGACCGCCTGAATCTTTAACGTTCGAAAAAGTCCCTATTACAGCATGCCGCAGCCTTGACCATATTCGTTTTGATGGTGATGTCCGAGGAGCGCCAAGTCTGGATGGAACAGTGTCGATGATTGGCGCTTCGATAGAGTTCGCTGTCGAAATTCCAGAAGTGCAGGGACGGGAGTCGACATTTCTGGCCGGATCCGTATTGGAAAGTTGTGCGTCTAATGCATCTAGCCCAAGTCTTTTCCCTCCCTTTTCGGTCACAGTTGCAGATATATTAGAGGACCTATGTGCGCAAGAGCCGAACGTGATGATCGTATTGCATTTGCACGCGGGAAAATCTGAGAGGTCAAGATCGTGGCTCACGTCAGTATTCGGTGGTTGTCCCGGGAAGGAAGACATATCCGCGAAAACCAGAGGAGAAACAGGAGACCACTGCGCAGTTGACGTGGAATGATCAGGAGAATTCAGCTTGGGAGATGATCGAGTAGAATAGATCCCTCGCTGTCCTGAGGAGAATGATGGCCTGATTATTACATAGTACGATACTTGGCATTAGTGAGGACAAGGATAAGGAACGGGAATTCATACTCTTGAGATGTGAAGTAGTGGGAGGTCTCGACGGGAACATTGGTGGCACTCTCTGTAGATAACTTTCCGATGCTTCGCGAAGCAAAGACAGTAAACGGCCCCATGGGGCTATCGAACATAGTGGAGAGAGGACCGGGACTCGCAAAAGTTTCTCTGTCTTCGGTGATAGGGGAGAGATCCTTGTTCGAATGCTTGAACGCTGTCTCCTGCAACTAAGATGGTCAGGCATAGTCATTGACCGGCACATTAACGTACCGGTTGGTCTGGATTCAAGATAGTCCCAGGGAGTTGAGGTGGTAATTGAAACGAAATGCTGCCAGAAGACTGCTTGTCGTCTAATGTGTTTAGTACACAGAAGTTATGATTGGGGCTCTTAGCGGGTATTCAATGTTCACGCTCTGAACGCTGCCAAAGATCGACTCACCTTGGACGAAAATCGGTTTTTTACGCGCCTCAGTCTATGTCGAGACGCGGGTGTAGGACTTGTATCGTGTACCTATACAACATAAATTTATCTTGAATTTCGCAATAACACATTCTTATGGCTCACCGCACTATCCTTGAGTCATAGCACATAGATGGTTGTCAAAACTTGGACAGAGGGCAGAATATATGCGTACCTGATGGGACTTCAGACACGCCTGAGAGTAACCATTTGATCGGACGCGACTCAAAAGCGGGAAACGATGATCAGCGAGAATATCATCAAATCTGAAATCTTGTTCGTCTCCAATCTTAAAGGAAGGAAACTGCATTAACGGTCATGCACGACTTAGTTGAAGATGAGTCTGGCGGGAAAATGGAGAATTGTCTGTTACCGTGAATGATGCCTCTTGGCCATGTGACTGCGATTTTCTGGTCGCCGAGCTGGGCGATGTGGTCCAAAGGATGTCTGGAGCATAGGAATCGTGTTAGTGGAATAGTTGTATATCCCTCGGTTGATCGTCACCAGGTCTATCTTGAGGAAGCTTGAACAGGGGATCTGGAGGTGAAAGTGTTATCTCGAAGGACTACACCGACGCCCATGCTCAACTTGAGTCAAATGTATAAACATCAACTTGAAAGCACTGACAGGCTTGGGCTTGAGTATGAGCTTGAGGATCCGCCGGGTGCTGGTGAGACCCATCAGCGCCACTATTAGCGGATAAATGATAACACTGGCAAGTTGTGCGCAGCGGTATGACAAGAGACAGTGAAACGGTTACTGCAAGGCTCAAGCTGGAAGGTGGCACTCATTACGTACCCGGTTCGACTAAATTTGAAATTTGACATTCGCTGTGCCACCTCACTCAAGTTCACATTCTTGCAGACAATCAAGATATCGATATGATTGACTTCTTGTAAGTTCTCTCGTGTGATATGCAAATTGTGGAATGCTCTAATTGAGCCTTCGCAGCAATGCTTCTTCGTTTCGGCCACTTCAATCACACCATGCCTGAGCCGTACAAATCTGATGCATCGATGGCCGGCTGCATCGCTGCGTGGGGTATGCATGCCACGTGCATGCTGTGGTTTCCTCCTTTATAGTGCATCAGGGCATCACAGGTACTGTAATTTTTGTGACCTTCAGCACACATCTTACTCTTCAGTGTTAAAATCATTCATATGTCCAACTTCGTCCCTGGTCATTTTAGCGAATACCCTTTTTTGGAGAAGGGCAGAGCCACCTCGAACGCCACCAGGACTTAGGATAGACACACCTCATAATCAGCAAAATACCACAAGTCGTCAATAGTATGTATCATCCATTTTCGTTCAACATGTACTGATGATTTCCCAAACTGACGACACTTTATTTCATCATTACCTGGTTTTTTTTTTTCGCGACAGACTCCGTGCCAGACCCACTCGATGATACCTTTCAAGCCATGGGTGAAGAGCCAAACCACTCAGAACCACCCCAAGATCCAGGAGTTGAATTAGCATTGAGAAAAGGTTTAAGGGAGTTGTGGGACGTCGTTGTCCACCCAGTGGTCGAGAATCTGGGCAGAATTGCACGACGAGGTTCCCGGATACGGCGGTGCCCGACGTCTCTTCAATTTCTTGCCGTTGCACACTGCTGGCGAGTACAGGGCAAATGGAGAGTCCATTTTAGATTTGATCCTGCTGTTTTGGTCGCTGAATCTGGGAAGAACATTACACATCATATCTGCTATAACGCGCCAGAAGCCATGATTCCTGACCGAGGCGCTACGATATTTAGGGTTTTTGAACTGTATTCCCGCGTTAACCTGGTGTACCAAACCCGCAGGATCTTTTACAGGGGAAGGTTTTAATTAATGACGTTGTCAACTTAAACCCGAAAAACGTGCCGCCAAAGTTATGAAGCCCATTGCCCCCCACCGCAGGAGCTGTCGAAACAAGACACTGAAACTAGTGTTTATTTGAACTCTGATGTACGTCTGGTTCACATGCCATTCGTTCACGGCATATTGCACTGATAGCAAAGATAGACGACAAGTATCGACTTTTTTTAAGTTATTTGTCGCATGGTTCACTGGCATCCAGAGATCAAGCGACTGTAAGAAGACTGCCTTGATGCGCCGCCCGCCAACGGTAGTCAGATGTTTTCGGTACTGCAGGATCAATCGTAAATTGGGACTTTGTCAGAAAAAAATATACAGGTTTGAAATTTAGTAACGTACAGCGAAAGGGGCGCAGTCAAGCGGATCATACATGTGTGTACAACTGTGGCGGATCCTTGGGCCGACTCAGTGAGAAAGAACTAAACCGGTTTTCAGATAAATGCCGCTATACAGATATCGCTGGAGCAAGGAAATAGCTCGAGGTTCATAAAAAAGACGCACCTCTAGGGTTGGTTCTTGGTTTCAATAACCATTCACTAGTCTTGTCAGTAGCCAGTTTTTGGTAATGTAGCAATGGAGAGAGAGTCGACTAGCGTTGTGCTCCCTCGTGCCGATGGGGATCGGTTCCAAAACAACCTATTTCCCTTCAAAGGATTAGTAACAAAGTTCAAACAATCTATTTTTCTTCAAAAGATCGGTAAGTTCAACAGGTTTAGATTGCAGCGCGTGACCACGTACCAGCGAGTGATTCCAGTAAGCTACACGACTGCCCATCCCTGCAATGATGTCACAGGGATCATCCAACTCGACTCAGCAGGCGAGCGTCCCATGATAGTCTGATCACTTTTCCTGCTTGACAGGGATGGGAAGCCGGAGTATCCAAATGTCAGGTGTCTGCGATAACCCCTCCGAATACACAACAATTGCGTGAAATAAAGTTACGAGTCTCTTTAAGCTTTAAATTAAAGGACTTTTGCTCGCTTTAACACGCACTTGTTATGAATGCGACGAGGCCGACGACCTTGTATTTTGGGGGCATAGACCGTCCTTGAAAATAATATATGCTTGAAGCGGCTGTAGACAGTCATCAGACCAACATGTTAAGTGAGATCTCCATCACTCGAAAAATGTTTTCAGGATCTTTGGGATTGGATCTTGCAATACGCGAACGACAATAAGGGTCGCCACGTCAGCGTAACTCTAAAATTTTCAAAAGGGGATCGTCAGGCAAGATCATGCAAACCAATAATTCCATGTATAGAGACTGGGTGGTAAAAGGTGGTAAAACATACAGATGGATATGCGGGAATGATGCTCCGAGTCCTATATATGGTACAAATATGCGAAGGGAAAAAAAAGAAAGGTATCACGAAAAAAACACGCAACGTAGATCATGCAGCCACTTTTGTGGCCATCGCCTCTTTCTTCAGCGCATCGCACTTGATCTCTTGCGCTTCAGCATGCCCGATCGTCTTCGCGAGTTTCTCCTCCCTGGTCTGCAAGCGCTGCTCCATGCCGAGGACGAGCAGGCGAATCTGTTCCACCTGCGTTAACGTAGATTCAACCACCGCTTGAGAGACAGGCGCAGAGGTAGACAGATCAGGATTGCCCGACTGATGTGTTGGCGTCCCTCGAGAGAAGACGGACCCCATAACAGAACGAGCTGCGAATGTTGATGAAGGTGGCGCGATGTCGAGCGCACTCTGAGAGTATATCAGATACATACGGAGTGCATACCTGCCAATTCTCGCCAGCGAATTTGGCCAAAGCTTGCTCCAACACTTTCTCTCTTGTCTTCACCCTACGATAACGTACTGCCTGGAGTGAACGATAGACACATGCATATGTACGCACCTGTCCAGTTCTGCCATGCACCTTTCGTTCTCTCTCTGAGTTCCCTGTAGAATCAGATCCAGATTTTTATATTCCTTCTCTAGCTCCTGGATCCTTTCTATGGGTGGCCTCAAAGCAAGTTATTGTTGTAGCGTCAATATCGTTGATTGAAGCTTAAATAAGTCACAGTCAGCTGCACAGATCGTCTTTCATGATTAATTAAGCTGACCTTGTCATTCTCGCGATCTTTGTCTAGGAGCTGCCGTCGCAATACATCTTCGATAGAAGGCTCGTCCCCCTCACGAAGAATGCCGAGATCATCTGCAGGTAGTGCAAGAGGTGTTTTTCCTGTAGTTGCGCACAATCTGTACACGACGCATGTTCGCCATCTGTCTTCAGGTCGTGTTTTAACCAAAACCTGGACCCTTCCCGAGAACGCGTGTTAACAACAGCATGCACGTGACTGACGCGTTCAAATGAGATTTACGAGATCCAGAATGGTTTGCAATGGTGCACATGTTTACTATAGTACTGATGGTCTCTGGACTTTCAAGTTCAGAGGCAATGCAGACAAACCGAGCCGGCTCGGAGGACGCCTAACCCTTTTTACTGATGCCACGAGCTCAAAAGGTACGTTCAGCGTATTCGTTATCAACAATGCATCAGAGGAAATTCCCAGAGGACTGTGGTCTCAGGACCGCGTCGGCCAATAATGGCTCGGTCTTCTAGGGACAATCCCCGTTCACAGTCGATGCCTAGGCAAGCTGGTCTACCAGGACATACACAAGGCCACGTCTGGAGGAGCTTTGATTCAAGGATTGTTTGCAGGGAGGACTGGGAGAGCATTGTCAGTGATTGTGTCTATACGGAGCGTGATCATACTGTGAGCGTCAAACCGCATGGATTCTGGAGCATATTATGGAATTGGCTGTGCTACAAAGGTGAGTTTCGTCACATCTAGAGCGAACGTAGTCAATTCATGCATTGGCATTAGCGTTCTAGATATAGTAATGCCTTGCTTGACTACTCATGTTGGATGTCCAACGCTTTGTCATATTCCTTTTCTTCGTTTGTTGACGGACTCCATATATATTAGGCCATGCTCAGCGCTCATCTCCTATCGTTATGTCTCTCACTTTTGAGGGTGTCGATGTCGTCGCCCCGTGCGATCTCTCTGCTTCGTTGTCTTCTGTAACATCGCAAATTCTCATTCAATTTTGGCGTCTTAGATGTCGCAACGCTTGATATCCCAATTCGTGCTCTTATTTCCATCTCGGATGACGCTGTCAATTTCTCGACTGATCTTTCGTTTCTTGTGGTCGATTAGGGTTCGGCGTTGCCGAATTTGACTTGCTTGCCTGCATTGTCTCGGAGTTTTGGCGCTGTTACTGTATGGCACTGTGCAGTGCCACACAACCTATCAGGGTTTTACTGATGGAGGTATTCTACAAAAACTTGTGCGGGGATGGCACAATGAATTCCAAGCGAGCTGCGCGGGCACTGCACCGAGTGGTCCAGTAGTTGGCTTGCGACAATGACAGCCCTTGGACCAGCGCATAATATTCGTGCATATTGGCGTGCGATCGATTTCGTGCGTCCTCTCCCTTTTTTTCAAGTGTTCTTGAGACCATCTAACCACTTCGCGTGTAGCATCCAGCTATGGGTACGTTGCCAATGACTCAAAATTCAATATTTCAGTGAGACTGTATACCTCCACGATATGTACACCTAAATTCGACTTCAAATTCAATTTGTATTTTCCAGTTTGTTGCCTCCGAGCCAAAGGTGGCCGCTCCTAAGGTTTGTGTGAGGGTCATATTCAACATTGTACCTTCGGTTTGAACGTGATCTGGCCTATCATCTCATAACGGCAAGACAACTACGATGAACGTGGTAGTCGTGGGTCTGGTTTACGATTGATCCTGCAGTATCGAAAACATCTGACTACCGTTGGCGTATTGTGTGGCATTTCCGGTGCACCCACGAATTGTGAACGAAGAAATGAACTGTTTTATCGCAATAAGTGCGCCCTTGAATATACTCCCGGCTATCGTGTGGCCGGAGATCCAATGCTTATCAAAAGCTTGGCCCATAATCGGATGCAGATCAATGATCGTTCGTTCTTTCTCGCTATTCAGAAAGGATACTAAAAGCATCGTGTAAATCAGAAAATCAGATTGAGAAATTGCAAAGTTTCGTCAACGCGTAATTCATACAGAGAATTGTGTCGTAAAATGCGTGCACTGTACGTTAGAAGAAGAAAAAGATAAATGATTTATACAGTGTATGGTAAGTTGCTATAAATGTTGGTTTACAAAAGTAGACAGATGAATGATCTATACGTCGTGAATGAATTTTCAAATTAGTGTGCATGAGCTCTAGTTAGAAGAAGAGAGTGAAGCAACCTGCAACAGAGGCAAGAAGAGTAAGCGATAAAGTGATGATCTTGATGGGAGATTGAGGAGGAGATCCAGAGCTTGTGCTGCTGCTGCTGCTCGAGCTTCCACTCGAGCTCGCGCAGGTACTAGTAGGCAGGGGTGTCAAGCCAGTCACCTGCACCGGATTCGGGTCGGAAGATCCAGTTGAAGAGCTCAAGCCGCTGGCGAGCTGGGCGAAGCCGACGGCAGGGGGGCTAGCACGGAAGACGGAGTACACATTCTTCAGGAAGGTATCGCCGACAATCCAATCAGGAACGCTACCAATGCCAATATCGAAGATACCACCAGCACACATATGAGAAGTAGTGCTCGCGTTGCCAGCCATTGTGCCGTTGAGGGTACCAAGGTTCATGTCTAGGGGACTGATCGCCCAGTTTGTACCGCCGAAGGAGATATAAACGGTGACATTGGTGTCGCAAGCTAGAAATAGATGAGTCTTCTGCTCATCCTGCAGTACACACAGATACTGACGGAATGCATATAAGCCTTGCCAATCACCAGAAAGCTCTGTGGAGCCAGGCACTTGGGCCCAAATACTTGCGGCGATGGGTGTGGGTGCCCCGATGAGGGTAGTGCCTGTGTCGATGGCAGCAAGACCACCAAGTGGGTCAATTGCGATCGTCTTGCCTTGTACAGTGACCGCTGTGAATTTGTTACCATTAAGCATGATGACAACACGACAGAATAACGATGCTGACAGCTAACAGTGAGTAACCAATACGATGGCGGACCAGTTAGATCCAGGTATTCGATAGAGCCGTTGTATAAACTCGAATTTGTTCCCCCGAGAGTGAACACACCGCCCGGAGCAGCACTAATCTGATTAGCTTGGTTGACGTATCGTTCAAGGTAGAAAGAGAATAAGGGTTCAGAGAGATTGTTGGCATTATAGAGAGCTTCCCAAAAGGGGGTAGTCTGGAGGGCAGAAATCGAGGTAAACCCGAGACCCATGATACCTGAGAGTCCGTCGCCGGTCAAGCCAGGGGTAACACTGTTAACAGCAACTATTATTAAAATAAGGTCAGGTCTGAATCAGCCCAAGCCACCGAGATAAACATACGGAGTTCCTGGGACATTTCGAATGATCCGAAAGTAACACTATCCTGAACGACAGTACCTTGTGCCGATCCCGAGCCATAATCTATCTCCAGGGGGGAGGAGGTAGCCTTGTATGTTGACGACTTCGAAGTATTGAATTCGGGTACATCTGATCCACAGGAGGTGCAAGAAGTTGTTGCAACCCAAAGGTCGGAAGAGCCAGTATCGAGGACAAGATTGAAGTTCTGTGGTCTTCACAGAACAAATATTTACAAATGTTGCTATGTGTCGAACTTGAAACTTACGGAGTTCCAATGCTCACAACACCTGAGTAGCTGGAATCGTTTTCCTAACATAATGATGGTCAAATTTGTGAGTTACTAGTACATGAAAAATTGAGCTGCGAACCTCGTCCGTGACGGGAATTGCAGCAGTGCTTGCTCGCTTTGAATCCGTGCTCTTCACATTCGTTAATTGGTGACCATACTTTTTCCGCAATGCTTCGACGGCTTTTGGTAAGTTCGCAACTCGGTCGGAATGACTTCGTCGCGTGATTGGAACATGAACTACACCTCCATCTGGTTGGCGAGCAGCAAAAACAAATGGAAGGAGTACGATGGCTACAAGGGGGAGAGAAATCATCGGGAAACAGGTGGAGAGGAAGACAATGAGGAAATAAAAGAAAAATAGTAGCTATCCGTGGCGGCAAAAGGCTGTCCCGTACCTCCTCGGTCCCGCCAAGTGGTCATACCCCCCATAGTTGTTAGCGTTTCCATTTAAGCGAGTAACGTTGAATTAGCTAAATCTGAAGCTTCGGTCGTCTCGTTCAGGAAATGGCGCGCCGTCGCTTGTCTGAGTTCAAAACCTACTTGCACTTGGCTTGCGACAGGATCTGGTCTTTGTTACTGGCCTTGGAGGTCCCTACGGCACTGCTTCGAATCATTGAAACCAACTGCTCGAACCTAGTATTAATGTTCTCCGCACGCGAGCGTGTACCCCAAACGTAATCCCAAAATACATAACTCGTACGTGATATCTTATATCCACTACTGTGCAAACAAAACAAAATCACATGAGTGTAGCATGCCCAGCGAAAATTAAACGAGTTCGACCGATGGGCCACGGAACAGATCCATGATAGTCCACTGGCCTAATCGATATGGAGTATCCGAAAAATCATCCACACAACGAAGGAATTGAAATGCTTGGACAATGAACGTACATCAAAATCCGCAGAGAAGGCGAAGAGTGCTAGAATCACAGCTTTACATCCTTCTTGACGAGAGTTGCCGCAGCACCGCGGTCCAGTTGAACAGTGACAAAATAAAAATCACATAACCCAAATTCCAAACCGTGCGCTTGTGGATGCGATGTAACTGCTGCCGTTTGATACGCATTTTTGTCGGTGTTAAACTTTTGCAAATCGTGAAGTGCTCAAGACACTACTATCGTCCACCGAAGTTATTGTCTTGAACTTTTGATATCTTCGAAACACAGTAGTAGGAATTTCAGGTCTGAAAGTCCTCGTAGTGCGCTGCCATGAAGTCTAGTGAAATAACGAGTGCATAAGGACCTTTCGAAGACTTCGCAATGTTTTGGTGAGTCGACTGTTTCAATTGCACAGCAAGACTCCTTCCGATCTATCTAGACCAACATGGAGCGATCAATCATTTGGACTTACAAGGATAACGACAAGCTTTGTGGATCTCCTGGTGGGAGCTCAAGCGCTCAAATCCAAGGACGAGAGATCAATAATTCTAAATTCCAAATAGATATATAATTACAAAAATGTTTGTCCCAAAACTACGAGCTCGACGAAAGAAAGCCGCCGACCTCAACTCTGCAGAGACGCATCTGACCCAGCCACCTGTTGACCTGCTCAACCTCATAACGAGGCCTCGCAGCAAGCAGACCGGACCAACTTCATATTCCACGAACGTAACAGGCCCCTGCTGTGAGATACAAACGAGGGGCCTTGACTTGTTTGTGGGAGACTGTCGAGGTTGTCGAGTGTCGTTGGTTATAACTGGTTTAACGTCGCGCGCTGAAATAGGTGAGGAGCAAGAACAAGCGTCTTGCCACGATCGCGAGGGAGCTTCAAACAATATTTCTTGTGAAGCAGGACTGGTTGGTATGTAAGGAAACTCAAGTGTTGGGATTTGAAGAGAAAACCCGAAGAGCTGTATAGTTGCTGACAAAGCTATCTCACGGCTATCCTATCGGCAACTGGTCTTCAAGTGGGTATATATAGTTTACAGTGACTTCATCAGCATCGCGGTCGAGGCCAGAGGACTCACCGCCCAACTGAAACTCTCCTTACATGGCCGACGGAAATGAACCAATTCTGTATTTTTAAACTTTTTTTGTAAAAAAAAAACACTACCGGTACATGGGCGTAGTGACTACAGGTGGCACTGCAAATGATCGCCGTGTGGTCAACTTCATACGCATTTCTAACGTCACCCGAGGAGTTCGCCATCCTAAAAACTGCCGTGCGTAGCGCGAAAGCTATGTACTACAAGTACCTGTTACACAAGAGGTAAACCGTCACGTTTATAGATTTTGCCACCCTTCATGACAAACTGTATGCTTTCCGCGGATACCGCACCTTCGAAATCTGCCGCAAAGTTTCCCGGTGTTGCAATCAAGTCAGCAATAAACCCTCTTCTCACCGCCCCAAACGGTACCTCGTTATCACCAACAATCCTTGGGTCCTCCTTGAGATCACCTACCTGGGCGAGTCGGGTCTTTCCTGCCTCGCCTTCCCACATCCTTGATCGTATACACTCCCAGCCACCTAAAGTCGCCCATCTTAGCACCTTCTTCCAATCAGCACCCAACCGAACCATGAGCGAGAGCTCCAACGCATTGGCCCCATGAGCGAAAACCCCGGTATCACCCCCGCATGAAATATTGTCCAAGTCTAGTTCTAAAGCCGCCTTGAAAGAATTGGCAGCGCGATCCCAGAGCTCTCCTTTCCCCTGAGTCATGGTATAATATGCCGCGAGGGTCGGAACATATTTGGTTTTATGGCCTGCATATTCTTCAAACATTTCTACCGCAGTCGAATCAGGAGCGAACATATCATATGCGTGCTCAATGGAGTCCACTCCGAGACTTATCAGAGGTATAATGGTTGACCTATTCGTTGCATGAGCGGCGACCTTGACCCCATACGCATGGGCAGTGCAGATCATTGCCCTCAGCTCATCGTAATCGAATGTGGCCATGGACGCAGCCGCAACCCTACGCGAGACTTCAGAAGCCCGTGATCGAACGGCGTAGTCTAAGAAAGCATCAACGGAGATGACCGACAGATCTAATCCAAACCAGGATTAATTTACCTGCATAGATCTGTATATCGTTCCAATCATAACGGAAACGAGCGAGTATATATGAGCGCCTTGCCACAATTATGATGGCGGAACGTGACGATCACCTTGATCCAATCTGCCCCCGCGCCAATCTGCCTCCGGACGGCCTTGATACACTCTTGAGTTCCATCTGCTACATCGACGCCGGTGACATCATCGATACCTTCTTTGTTGACATAGAGGGAACTCTTTGGACCTGGACAGGCCCTCGCATGAGTCATATGTACGAGATGGAAAAGCACATGTATGAAAATACATCAACCAGCAAAAATACGAACCGTACGTTCCCGTGGGTGCAATTGCCCTCGTGACACAAAAATATCTCGGGCCGGGTATGAGGGCACCAGGGCTCGATAAACATTTGCGTAGCGCAATATCTGCGTCCCCTGCACCCTCGGTACCTAGATCACTAGGAACAGAACACCAACGTTAAACGGAGAACTACGCTAGAACGGCTGATAGACGCACCGCACTGTCGTGAAGCCTGCCATCAAGGTACGTTTAGCGTGCACCGTGGCCTTGATGGTGCGCTCGACGATGCTCTCTTTGGTAACCTGGTCCACCCATGAGGTCTCCGCGTACGGATGTAAGAAGACTGACAGCAGGTGGCAGCCTGAGATGAATTCCGATCGCGGAAATGAAAGTGATGTGCTTACAGTGAACGTGAGTGTCGACGAAACCTGGTAGTACCGTCAAGTGCCGTAGGTCTATTACTTCCCCGTCAAAAGACACCAGATTACTACCGATTGCTGACAACGGTGAAACATCCAGGATCATTCCAGAGTCATTGCATATCGTTATGGCTTGATTATCAAGAAGTTCGAGCGTGTATGGATCAAACAATTTCCCAGCGAGGACTATCTTGGTCGGCGCAGCAGGTTGTGCTTGGTCTTCTAGCGTGGGGGCGGATGCTGTGAGTTGCATTTATCTGAATGAAGTTTAGCTAGTGTTCGTGAGGCGTTCAACTGGGGAACAAGGAGCCCCTGAGAAATGACTTATGGAATTCTACGGAAGACAGGCCAACTGCGTGTGGCGGCCGGGAAAAAGGACAATGCCGCGACTGCTACCGACCATACCATAACTTACCATTTTTTCTCAAAGTGCCTATGATAGTGCGAGCTGTGTTGGCTCCATGTCCAACCTGCTTCGGGAGTTGCCGACGGAGATCATTTGTTCTCGAGGGTGAGGAGAACGCCTCATCTGCATATTTGATTGATGCCGTGGCACAAGATAAGTCACAGCACCAGGGCCCTATAGCAGTCGGCTCGCATCGTCGAAATGCTATTGGATGATGTCCCCCCAGTGTGCGGCTAGAGGTTTAGGAGCTGCCACGCAGCTACTTACAGACTCTCATTTTATTCCAGGTGCTTGGCGAGGTGACTTGAAGGATCGCCGTTTTTCGAAATACTTATAATACTTATTCAGTTTCCAGAAACAGACGACGGAGGTCCCCCAGATCTATTGGGTCTTGTAATATATAAAGAACATGGTATTTTTAGCAAGCGCGTGATGTGGGTCGTGGGGGTCTTGATAAACGCGGGGAACACAAGCACAGCAACTGGTGTTCTCGAGAATATCAAATTGGATTATGTTTCAGCGAAGAGCTCCAACGAGCTCCATAGGCGAGCTTCGTGGCGTTCTAGAGAGAACCTCGAGGTGTGTTGAATGAAACACGAGCATCGTGATACAAATGAGAACACCATAATATAATATTTTTAGCAGATATCGTTACCTCGAAACATTCAGAAGCTCATCATCAATACTGTCGGTTTTATGTCGGCCGCGGCTGACTTGAGACTTGTGCAGGGTCAACGACGATCTAGTGCCCGAATGTGCAAATGGAATTGGTGACGCATCAACGAAGTCGAAGTGCCCCATGAGAGCTTTGTGGCGTTCCGAGCTTTGAAGAAGTCGAAGTGCGATAATCACAGCTCAATACCCCAGGTGATTAAATGTGGTGCTTGGCAACCATGAAAGAGAACTGATGATTCAAGTAAGTAGGTCTTTCTCCTCGGATTTCGCTAGCTTGTGTGGCGTATCGCAGGAAGTGAAGCTAATAGTGCAATGGATTAATGAAAGAGGACGCACTAGTACTAGAACTTCCAGCACGCGTAAAAGATACATGCGTAACTGATACCGTGATATGTTATCGATCTTCTGCCGCCTGCTACAAAGTTCAGCCTCCTCGTGCCGTCATTCCTAGTAAATACGTACCTTTTGTGGCCTATTACAAGAAGATGGATTAATATCATGAGATACGTGAGTACTAGAAGGGGATGCACGAGTAGAACTTCGGAGACGCGCGAGTACACCAGACACGGCGCAAAAGATACAATGGAAACGGCAAGTACGAGGTTGTCCGTCTACACAGCATCTTTTACACGCATCGTAGCGTACCGTGTATGCTGTATTGGCGTCATAGTACCATGATGCCAATCCATCATACACATTTCACGCATTTGTACGTACGTACAGGCGGCCGGCGGTAGACAAATACCTGGAAAGGATTAGCAGATATCGCGTCTACTACCATACACAGCCAAGCATCTGCTGCGCGCATGGCAGCATACCTCTAAAGGGCATCCGTACGTACGGGCGTGCGCATGGTTCAAGATCGATGTTCCGCCGGGGGTGGACAGATCCGTCCAGAACTCAGGGTCGCATCTGTGCACAAAAACAGCACAAGAACTTTTCTGACCAAGTCCATCTGAAACTGTGTCATGAGTTTTTTTCCAACTCGAAGTCATCGTTCCGACCCACCAGTAGCAGTTCACTCGCATGGCACGGCCCGATCAACGCACGCACGCAACTGGAAACGAGGCTCCGAGTCGAGTTCGGAATAAAACTTGAACCTGCAGCTCATGTCCCGTACCGTACCGTACCTGTATGCATTATGAATCGCAGTTCCAAGGAATTTGGCCAAGCAGCATGGAAAGCGAATAAGGAACGAATGCGCTTAAAATCGTAGCTCCGACACGGCTTCGACTTCTTCTGCATCCAAATGGTAAAGCCTGAGAAAGTCCCAAGTCCCCTAGATATTACTCGTGAGATAAGACGAGATGTGACGTCAACAGGTAGCATTTTACTGAGTCCTGGGGTGCAGAGCGCTGAGTAGTCACTACTTGCGGCATGCTTAGTTCTCATGGGGATAGGGATTTTCCACAGTAACCTTCAAGAGGGAGAACGCGACGGCGGCTACTCGTTCCAGTCACTTAGTGCTGAGCCTAGCAGAAAGAGATGATCAGCGTTCAAACGTTGAATGACAGGGAACATTGACGGAACGCTACTTGTTCGTAAGTTACTTAGCCTAGCTAGGGATGATCACGATGATCACGATGAAGCTATTAGCAAACAACAATGAGATCGATGCCAGCTCGATGGCATGCCCTTAAGCTTAGTCAGGTCTAATTGGGGATTCCCCAGGATCGAGAATCCGCTGGGCAGTCACAGTAAAAGACACCAGAAGCGTTTGGTTTGGGTTTCTGACTCTCCTCCGAATCGGACATGTTAGCCTGCGAATGCCTTGTTTCAAGTTTCAAGGTACATATGGTCATACGCCGCTGACAGCGCCTGCGCAGAAGATCCTGTGCAGTGACGTGATAAATAATCATCGACATCAAACTTGAATTCAAAGTACTGGTAAGTACTAGTACTTCTCTCATGGTAACGATGGCACAAACACTTACCGATGCGAGATAAGTAAAAAAAAGTTCAAAGGTCAAGTCCAACTTCGAGTTAATTAGACGCCGGTCGGGTGCGAAGTCGCGACAGCCTCAGGTTGATAACTGAATACACGTTTCAATATTAATGAAGTACTTAGCTGGCATGACAGGCTATCCGAGTTTTATAAGACGCCGTGACCAGCGTGTGTGGGTAGCAGCGTTATGGAGCTAGAACACCGATACGAGTGAACTGTTCAGAAGCGAGTGACGAGGCAGCCCCGAAGCGTGTGCTCAGGCTGTAGATAAGATAAGACTGTCCCAAGCTCCAACCGTCCGCGTCAACGTGAACACAAGGACAAAAACATTGATTGATGAAGTACTAAATGAACAAGGTGTAAACTACAATTATGTAAAAAGGGGGAATGAATGGTACAAGAGTCTCGAAGTGTGCGTGCGCGAGTGCAGTAGTCAGTGTCAAAGTTGTGTATGGAAGCAATGCGATGTGAATGAAACAGTCAGCGAGCAACATGTGAGATAGTGGCATGTGTAAAACCAACCAAAACAGAGACGGGGCGAAATGAAATGATGACGAACCATGATATGTACGTACGTATATGTGCATGTAATTGCAGTGGGAAAAAAACGCAAGGGTATATCTAACACCCGCAGCGAGTCGACATCGTTGATGGTGATAGTACAGTGTCAGCGTATTCGGATGGAGCTTTGATATACAGCGCTGCAAGGCGAGGCGATAGAACGCGGGACATCGGGAAAGAATAAAGTTAGGTTTGTGGTGCGTCAGGTCAGGTCAATGGATGGCGTGGCGTGGCGTGTCATGTCTTGATGAGTGCTTTCTTAGTCGTGGTTCTTGGGTCCTGGATTGTCGGCATGCGGGGTATGAGGGGCCCTGGAAACCTCGGTAACGTATCGCAAACCCTCCTCTCCGCATCACCCCCTCACGACCCCTCCTCCCTCCTTGTCATGGCAAACGCACTCTCAAGGGTGGGGGTAACGGGGTTCACCTCCCCCAATGCCCGCCACGTCCCCACGAAATTTTGTCCTCCAACAATATACCCGCTGAATACCCACAATCCAAGTCCGACTGCAGGATGCGAGTACTGGTGTGCAGGGATACGAACGAGCGCGACGAGTCCGTCCCACTCGCGGACGCGGCCATAGAATTTGTAGTGGTTCCACGCCTGGCCATGTTGGAAATCGGTCTGTGAGGGATAAATTAGGTGGTAGAAGATGGGTTTGGGAATAGGCTTACCTCGCCGACGAGTGCGATATCAAGCACACCGTTACATTTCCTCTCCACACAGTACTCATCCTCGTCGCTCTCGTAGTCTGAATCTTCGTCCATCGCTTCAAAGATGTCGTCGATGACTGAATCGTACTGCGCAGAAGCGTCTTGTAGGAATTGACCATCATCGTCACCCACATCAAGATCAGCATCTGTATCGCTCTCGTCACCCTGAGGAGACCGCTCGGCCAAAAACTGATCATCATGCTCCCTATAAACGATATTGCACGTCCCGCGGTATTGACATCCGCGACAAGTAGCTTCGTCGTGAGAGTTTGCGAAGCCTGGGCGATAAGCTTCGTATGTGTATGTGCGATCGTGATGTTGGAGTTTGAGTTTGCCTTCGGACTGTGGTCAATAATCAGTATTAAGATCAGTATCACATCAGTGAAAATAAAGCGACTCACCAAATCCTCGTGTAACTGCATACCCCTGGGTATCCAAGCGTTCGAAATGCCATCATCAAACCCATCATCCGCCCCACCAGTTGGTACAGGGTCCTGGGGGTCCACGCAGTGATATTCACGGAGACGCATGAAGAGAGGGTAAGCGTTCAGGAAGAGCTGTTGTTCTGTGAATTCTTCTGGCATCTGAATGTGCTGTAGAATTGCGGCGAATGCATTATCGGTGGGGACCAAGATACGGCCTTGCCAGAGACCTGTTGCGGAGCCGTAGGTGTAATGAGTGTTCTTGAGGGAAGATCTTTGCATTGGATAGATACAGTCTGTGAGGCGGTACCAGTCGTCGTCGAGTTGGGAACTGGGAGTTGGGGTGGAGTCGGAGGCGAGAGAAGGGTGCTTGACGACTTTATGTTGGTTGAGTTCATGGACGTCTTCTTGAGTGGGGCCGATTTGGTCGCCAAAACCGAGTTGGAAAGCATGTTGACGAGTGAGTGGGAGATGTATTGGGATTCCGATAGGTGTTACTTGACGACGTGAGAAGAAGATCAACTTCGCAGCGGTGGAAGCGAGTGGGATACCGATTTCGAGGTCTGTGCGGTCGTAGAAGTGGGTAGTGTGGGCTCTGCCGGCACGGTAGATTGG